GGAGCGCACAAAAGCTGTAAACAGACTGAATCAGCGACGAGAAAATGGGGCCGGACGCACTTCTCTGACTCAGCTGTTGAGCGCCGTATTAGCGGAGCGCCGAAAAGCGGGGCCCTACTGTACAGCAAAATTTTCATCGCCACAGATTCAAAGTGACAATCATGGTAGCTAAAAAAATTAAATTAGTCTGTTATGTAAGTGCCCCCTACCCAAACACACTTCAGATCACATCATAGGTATGCGTTCTTGAAAGATCTGCACCCACAATTAATGTTTGTTGCAATGTAGAAACTATAAAACTTGCTTACATTCCAAATGTTCTAGTCTAGTTTCTGTGCCTTGCAGGTTACATTCTTGAAGAGGATTACAGAGATAAATATTTGTTGCTGGCCAACAGCAGTTTTATTATTTTCATTGAAATTTTCTAATTTGATATGAATTTGTGTCTTGTCTTGTCTTGTTTGCCAGTGTTATTTTTGCAACAAAATTTGGGTCATTTATACATTAGTAACTGTTAAAGTCCACTGCCCATTCATTTATTTTGCAGGGGACCAGCTGATTGCAATGGATGGTCACAGTTTGTTGAATTTGAAATATGAAGAGGCAATGGATCTTTTCCGGTCTAGTGGCACAGAAGTTGAAATCCTCTTATCACAAATCAGTACAGACATAGGAACATTTGTGCCAGAAGAGGAACTTTGTGATGCTAAAGCTGTTGGATACCTCAAGCATTCCAATCACCAGGACTCGGGTAAGTTGTTTTACCTCTCATTAAAGATGAAACAGGTTGTGGAACAATGAATTTAATCTTTATGGTGCATCCAGAACCTTTATGTGTAGTGTCTGTGGAGGATTCTTATCTAAATTACATTCATTTTGAGGCAGCTGTTGAAATGGTACCTGGAGGTAAAGAGTTTGAAACTATATCAGCCCCCACAGCAAAGCAGCAACTCTACGTTGAGAAACATCCGTCACCTGGTCACAACAGCCGAGGTATCCGAGCAGTCTGCTGTGTTTCGCGAGCAGAAGACGGATAATTGGAAGCAGTAAGATATCTTCTGCTTCTCGTCTTTGCCTTCTTGTATATTTAGATCTGCTTTTTGTGGTGTCTTTCACTTTCTGACAGCCCTGTTATCATCATACATTTTAAATTTTAATCATATAGTCAAAGTTATCGTGCACATATTTGATTTTGAGTTTCTTTTGAGTTGGGTTTATTATTTATTTTGATTTGTGACAGCAGGCATGGTTCAGTGCGAACTGAATTCTTAAATATTATTTAGACAAGCTTCAGCTCACTCACTCATTCACGCTCACTCTGTGGTGCAGGAAACTCTTCGAAAAGTCGATTCTGTACTCGGCTTGTCAAAGAATAACCCCCTTTCTTTATGGATAGATGGGCTTCAGCTTCAAACTTATAATGAACCACCGAACTATTCTCATGCTGTAAAAAGCTGGGCAGATGTGAATGTTTCGTTTTACATTATTTGCTCAGTAAAACTGAGTATTAAATTTACTGATTCACTTGCAGTCTTGAGTCTTCATGTTTTAGTGCGTACAATAAAACTTGGGGAAACAATCCTTGACTTCTTACTTCCTGATGCACTAGATTCAAAATTTAATCACTGAAAGCTTTATACTGTGAAATGAAGAGCAAAATTCTGGCCTGTTATTGAATTTATTGGCATCTTATTTGATGAGATTGCTAGTGACGGATAGGGAGAAGATGGCTTCCTCTGTTTTCTTTCCCTCTTGGTTTGACAGTAGCTAGAATCTTATCAACTTCAGCAGAATGGATTAGAATGGTTAAATACTTCCCACACATATTTGTTGAGAGGAGTCAGTTACATGTGCAGTGTTAAGTTTCTCTGTGCCCTCACATGTTCCAGAGATTGTGTAAGTCTTTGCATAAACACGTCTGTGAAATTTGACAGCACATGTTCCAGAGATTGTGTAAGTCTTCACATAAACACGTCTGTGAAATTTGACATAAGGAACTGTCGTAAATTTTACACTAATATAAAATTGAACTTTTGAGTGGTAAGTGTTGATTTTCATTTATTTCTACTGTTATATATATATTGTGTCAGTGACATGATTCATAATTATGTGAAAATTGTTGTTAATAAGTGTATGCAACTTGAGTGTTAAGTATGCCTAAAATGGCACAAAGTTTAAATTGCAACAAATTGGATCTTGTTTATATATGTCCTTGTGACTGGTGGCATGCAAGTTCTTGACATACTAACTATTTTCTTCCAGATTAATGTGGAGAGCTTGCTGGAGCGCCTGCATCAAAATTAAAAATATTAACAACCGTAACAAGTATGAGACCTGTTGGCATAAATACAGATAAAACTGTGTCCAATGTTATTTACCTGCATGAAGAAACTAATCACTGCTGTTGCAAAGATGACGTGAGTGAAGATAATATAAATTGGCATTGTAACCACAGATGACTAACAACCAAGTCTTTAAGTGGCTCTGAAATTTCAAATACCGTTTGGGTCACAGACTGGCTTATCGTCATTCCATCGATGAAAGAAAGAAATTGGTAAAGTTAATATTTGTGCAGGATCTGATGAGCAGGGTCAGGATGACTGGGATTTTGTCTACCAGAAGCTGTGTTTCCTGATGAAAATTAAAAACATGTTGCTCAAGCTGAAGTAATTAAATCATTCAGGACGTAGTTGTTTTCTGCGGTGAACAAATTATACATATTCAGTTTCACCTGTGTTGGATGGGTGATTCACGCAACATTGTCAATAGAAATTATGTGATCACAGGATTACTAAACAGTTGTACGTCGCATCCGCATTTATGTGTTACAAATAAATACCTTCAGCACTTGTTGGATTAAGCACAGACCTTTACATTTATTACTTATGTTGTAAAAGTGTCCAGGCGTCTAGTGTATAATTTGTAAATTTTAATAGAGATTCTTGAAAAGACTGTCAGTGATTTTGTAAACACAGTGCAGTATGCAGGCGCCTCGACTGTGAAGAAACTCTGAGAACATGGAGTACGGAAAACAGTAATTTATTGAGGATTCCATGTTTGGGTTTTGTACACGTGGCTCAGATGGAACTGGTGATGTCTTCCATGAAAGAGAGAAAGTCATTTCTGTCAAGACTTTGTCACAAAATAATAATGTAGTTCAAGTCTTGTTTCCTAAAGAAATTGTGCCTGCGGATATAACATTAGAATCTACCATATCATTGCGTTCAGATAAATTACATTTTAACCGTCTGATACATACGACTGAAGAAAATACACACATCAGGCAAAGTGACCTAGACCCATTGACAGGCAATGAGAAAAGGACTTCGTAACATGACTAAAAGTGGTGCTACTGGTGTCTCAGAAGGGAATGAATGTAGGAATGATTTTACAGCTGCAGCTGAAACACTGCTGGAGGACAGCAGCGGCTGTTTCTACGCTACCTCGGGGTTGTCACTGGCAGTGTTAAGAGAAACGAGTCATGGACTGTTACAGGCTGTGTACAAACAGTTAAGCGGGAGGTTATGTACAAAAATAACAAGTACATGGCTCATACAGGAAGTGATTGAGTATCAAAAAGTTTTGGTTTATTTTTTTTTAATATGCTTATTGATGATGAAGAATATGATCTCAGTTATTACAGTAATAATATGGAAAGCTCTGTTAATTTTAAATGTGATTTAATTAAATCTGAAGTTACCAACTTAACAGAAAAGACTAACAAAGAGTTAAGTGTCTAGAATTAAACAAGGAAGAATGTACAGGACTTTCTGTTCACAGCAAGGCATCGCCCAGCTGTATGTTGTAGAATCTCGTATAAAATCTGGTGTAGTGTGAGATAATTTACACGTAACAGTGAGTACTGCAGCCAGCATGTGTGTAAAAATAGTTATGTGGTACCGTTGCATCTTCCCCTAATGAAAGCTGTCAGTCATCGCTGCTTGGAGAACACACGTTTTCACTGATTGTAAATTATTGTAGCAACACAAAAAACAGAAGAACTGACGAATGTTGTTAGTTCTGCCAATAAGAATATTGAAGATTCTATTCAGAAAATTGTGATGATATAATTGGTACAAATAATGAAGAATCTTTCATAACAGTAAACAGAGTGATACGTTGCCTTCTTCTGGAAGTATAAATACTATTAATAATAAATTATTTAATAATTCCTATCTGTCCAGATTATACTCAAGATAGAGATAAACCACTGAAAAAGATGGAGATAATGAAGACTGGATGTTTTGGGGATGTAAGTGGAGAACAAAACAGGTTTGTAGTTGCCTAGTTTTGCCACGTATTAATCATCAAAATATGCTAAACTTCTAATTGCATTTTCTCTGCCAAGAATTTTCTTGAGGTATTTCCTATACATTGTTGTCTCTTTAATTCATTGATCTGAATTGGTTCAAGTACAGTAATTGATTAAAAAGTTTTTCAGTTTACGTTTGCATGGACATTATTGTGTGCTATATAAATTGGTCTCATAATAAAAATTCGTTATGAACCAGTCACTAACAGCACAAACATCATTTTAAAATCAGGCATTTTGTGCACCGCGTAAGCCGAGAACCATGTCGAACTGATGGGTTGCAGTGCAGCACCCATTCGGTGTTTTATGTTGTCCTACTTATTTCTTGAATTATACATGACTTGGGGACCAGAATGTCCCAGTTGCAATAAATTTTAAGTTTTCAAGTGCATGTCAGATTCACATTTGTGCGTTTGTGGGAAAACCAAAAAATACATCTTAAATTTATGTTTGATTTTCTTCACGCATGTGGTTGCCCCCAGAACAGTAATCTCATTTTAACTGGTCCCCATTAGACACAAAGTGTAAGTGTCGTGTATGATGTATACATGTTATAAGAGTCATAATAATTTGAGACAAAATATGGAATTAATTTTATTTCACACTTTTTCATAAGAATTCTATATGGCATCTGTATAGGTAGTGTACATGACAATTAAACTCACATTGTCAGCGAGTTTTTCCTAAACTCATTGCATGTTTTGCATAGTAAGTGTTCCATCCCAATACTGACTGAGCTTTCATTGAAATTTTCGTGAGTTGCTTTTAGCAAGTGATTGATGGCAGCGGACCTCAGCAGCTTAGTTCCTTTTTCACATCTATTTTACTGTTGCTGTCAGTCAATGTTTATGATTCAAGTGGCTGCATCTTATCTCTTCAATGTCACTGAAGTAGTTCAAAGTTCCCACACTCACATATAAAGACCTGAATCATTAATTTAAGAAGTTAGTGTATTTTTCATATAGTGTCTGTAAAATCAAAATTAAATAATGTTATGGCTAGGTCAGTCATTGGCCTGAGTTGTCTGATCATGTTTCTTTACAGCACACGTTACTCTACACCTGATAATACTGACAGTGCCGTTGACCTGCATGAAACAGAAATTATTCCAGAAGAGGAACACGATTAAGTACTGATAATGGACCTAAAAGAAATCTTCTCAGGGCAGATTAGGCCAACACTGCAAAGCCGCAAGATAATCGCATTAAATTAAAAGATGAATTTCTTGTCTACCCCTTTCACATTTCATCACATAGGAATAGAGGATTTTAACGTCTGTACTGTGCAGCAGCTGGCCAGACTTACTCTCCGGGGTTAACAGTGTAGCGACATGTTAGCGCAGTGCTCGGCCAATGGAACTGCGCATAACCGGTGGTGCACAGTCAATAAAGGGTAATGTTGTGCATATGTTTCCTTGTTTCAGACCCTAATAAATATGATAGTAAAGATAATAATGATAAAATTGTACATTTTATAAGAATAGAATGGTTATTTACTTACGAAGGGAGAACAGTATCGCAGTAACAGGCGTCTGAAGAATACGAAGCTACGTAGGAAAAGATGCTGAGTTCTCTTGGATTGCAAAATAATGTCAACCAAAGAAATATTATCCCAAAAAGTATTATTGTCGAGTTATTTTGTTATGTGCGCTAGGACATAAGCCAGTAAAATAGTAAAAATGTAAGACAATATATTTTAAGCAAAACTTTATATGATCATAGTAGCCTCTCTTTTATTTTTAGTGTATTTTTTATAATTCTGTTAATTTTAGTCTTGTCATTACTTATGCCTACCATTTAATCTCTGCATATTGAAAAAGATAGCCATCATGTAAAATTTTGTATTCATGCATATTTTCATTAAAAATAAGATTATTATAGTTAATGCTATTTTCTCACAGCTTAAGCTTCGGACAACATTAGTAGTTTCTGTTTTGTTGATGTTTCATTTGATATTCAGATCCAGTATGAGGTTTACATAATTTTCAATACTGTCCATATGAATGCTTTGTTGTATCATTGGAATTTGCTTCGTTATGCTACCGGTGCAGGTCTTAGGTCTTTTCGGGTTTTTGACAGTGAGAGCTAAATAAAGAGTCTTACCTGGTTCAAGCAGGCATGGCCAACTGTTCTGCATGCAGATACTAATAGCAAAAAATACAGAGTATGTTATTTTAATGATCATATAATGTGTTGGTACATATATTAAAAAATTCTCTGTGCGTATCCAAGTGTATTTGTATGGAGTTGGCACACACATGAAAAGTGTACTTATGGTTGCTGGTGAAGGGGTTGAAATCTGAAGTGTATACTAATCATGAGGAATGAGTTTCCAAAACATTAATTATTTGGAAACCAAATTTACCTCATACGTAGATGTCACAGTTTACATTGTTTCTTCATGGTGAGCTGTAACAGAATGTTTAGCGTTTAAGATACTGTGTGGCCCTCGATACTCAAAGTACCTTGCTTCATTCTTTAAGTCCCTGATGTCGATCGCGTGTTGCATAATGTCCATCAGGAATGCACTTGAACAGATTAAATTTGAATGTGATTCACAAGATTCTGGATAGCTATAAAAGTGTGTGAATATATTTTCCAATACAAAGCTATTTTTAGTTTCCCTTCCGACACATTTATATAAAAAAATTAAGTACACAAATGTGGCCTTATCTTCACCAAATTGTGTATGAGTTAGTAATTTATATATTCTTCCATTCTGTCAGTATATATCACAGTCCCATTGCAGTTTCCACGTCATGGCACTTGACGTTTTCATGAAGGAATTCAGTAATTTTTTCGGAGTACCATACATTGCCGGGCGTCCAAGCGTTTCTCAAGACAACATCATTCTGCCAGGTGATATGTAAATGCCTGTGGCTGTATGAAGAAGCCAGTGAAGCTATTTTTCTTGTGCCCCCTTCCTCCTTATTGATTACGCTGAAGCCTATTCTGACGTCAAAGCCACCTTTCGAGTCGTCTCTTTGTGTCCTCTCTATCCCTTTGTTTTGTAAAGATGTGCAAGTTTTTGGAGTCTATTATTGTTCATTCAGTTGAAGTAGGTTAACCATTTCTCTCTAATTGTCTGTACGCTCAGCTACTGATGTTTAATTAATAATTATCACTTTTTTTTTTAACGCAAGTCTTACAACTCTGAAACTGGTAATACTCTCTGCAGAGAAATAATGACTCATGAGTTGTATCAGTACAATAATTCATCTGGCCAATCAAATCTTTAGACTTTATTTTGCCTGTGATAACAATATTTAATGTCGATGCTCAGTTTATTGGTTTTTATAGGCATCTGGATCGGTGTCCTTGGGCTGCGAAACGGAACGATGACTGAGAGTTATCGTGCACTTAACACTATACATATCGCTGATGGGGTCACAGTGCCCACCGTTTCAGATTATTGGTTGACCATGCCTGATGTATTTTAGTTCATAACATAAAAAGTTAATAAATAAATTTTGTTAACAAACAGGAAATTATGCATTGAACTGTAATTCTAAATCTTTGTATTTATTTTCATCAAAATATTGATGGAAATGTTCAAAAGAATGATACTTTGAGACAAAGCTATGGAGAGTATTGTGAATTTGTATTTTCGATTATTTCTAATTTGTTGCTAAATGATGTGTCAAGAGGATAACTAAACAGATTGTATTGGTAATGCTTTGTATCAGTATTAGTTAAATATTGTACCATTGTATTGATATTAATTATTTATTGTCTGTGTCTATTATATTAATTTAATTTTTTTTAATCAAAGATTAAATTATTAGTAAAATAAAAACTTTGAGTTTGATTATTTGTATTAAACATTTTTATTCATAAGTTATGACTTATTGTAATGATTGCTGCACCAGCTGTACTCAATTGCCCTCTGTCAGTCTAGCATAATGCAATGAATTGACGTATCTCTTCCTCTTACAGCTGTTCTGTTCATGCTAAACTCAGCTGATGAACACATTTGTATAACGTTAGTTTTTGACATTATTATGTTCATGAACCTGTTCTTGTTTATTAGGTTAGGCTAATGGGCGATTTGTATTGAGCTGCGTGTTCTTCGTCAAAGGCTGAGGGAATGGATCGAGAAACCCATTGATAACTATCTTTCTTAATCAGAGCAGGTGTTGGTAATGGAATGGCGAATTTAAGGAAATGGCTTTTGTGGTGCAACATTAAAACACCTTCGGCAGTTCCCACGATTAGGACGTGACTTTCTTGCTTGAATATTTTAAACAATCACCGAGTTTATTTTCGCTAACAAATAGGAAAGAAAGTTTTGTTTTTCGGGCTCAAGCGTTGGTATTCCCACAAACTTAGTCTGAGTGGTAGCTACTAGAAGCGCTGCTAGTAAGTAGCGTACTCGTCAGAAACGTGTTTTGATTGATGTGAAGTTTTCGGGATAACATAGGCGAAGGTAATCAAATACTTCTTATACGATTAAGTTGAAAAGTCAGTGGAGTGGTTTAATCATATGTGATAACTGTCGTGACGTGTTGCGCTATGGCAGTGAGTGTTGTAATAAAATCACACGTCAAGAAACTGTCTAACAGTCATTCGACGCCAATCGCTGTTAACATTGTTTCATTGTGTGTGTCCCTCTGATGCCACAGCTGTATAACTGATAGGTCTCATCCACCTCACCTACCGAGGTTTTACGCAGGATAACCAATCGAAAATGTCGGGCAGAGAGGAACGGTTTTATAACAGCGACATATCTTTTGATCTGCCAAGTGAGTATCGGCTACTCTGTCTACTAGGGAGTTGGATTCTTAAAGACTATGCAACGTAAAGTTTTATG